TTTTTTTTCTGCTTTGTCCGTTTGTGTATGGATGTGTTTGTTATATACGAGTTTAGTGCTTTTGTGAATGTATTCCAATATGGGGTAGGGATTGTAATTAAAATTGTATACATCACCAGCTTTCGGGTTATGATAATCGAAAGTCATTTGTTTCATAAAACACCAGCGCCAACCCAGATCGAATTTTAATTGGTTGTTTCCGGTAAATGCAATTTTTGTATCCGAGTGTCGAAAAAAAAAAAACAAAATCGGTATATAAATTTTCGGCTTCCGCATCAAGTTTATTTAAATGGTACAGATAATTGTCACTGAAATATAGAAATATTTGTTTGCTGCTTTTGTTTTGCATATTGCATTTTTGACCCTACTCCAACTATATTATCAAGAAAACAATTTCAAATCATAACACGGGATGCCAATAGTATCGCATCTAACTTTCAGATATGCTAAGCAAATTACATCCGTATGTGATAGAAAAGTTTGCAGAGATTCCGGTGTTGTGAATGAAGAAAGTCGGATTGTTCGAGTTATTTATTTCAAATATAGCAAAACATGACATTGACGTGTTGCTCAAGCAAAAATACATTTACTTTGAAAACAGCGCGGAAAAAACTACAGTTAATAATATTTATATGCAATTTATTAACTATTGCAAAAAAAAATATTACTATTGTATGTTTTTATTCTAATATAATGCATTTCAAATGTGGATACGAAGATTGAAATATTTTAACAGATTTATTATTAGTTTAGAACCTATATTATAGGTCTATTTGCAATTTCACATAATAATCGGTATATTATGGAATATTTTTTAACATTTTGAATTGCATTTCTACAACTGTAGAGGTGGAGGTTGTAAATTCATGTTTGGGATTTTAGACTTTAATTGTTGGCAATAATATAGATATTCTTTTCCTATTCACGTTTTTAATAAATTAAATTTAAAGAGAAAAAGAAACAGGAGCAATTAAGATCCTCACTTCGAAGGTGTTAAGTATAATATGAAAAATGTATATGTGAAGTGAGGAAAATGGGACGGGAATGGTATTTAGAGTGGTGTGCATTTCCAGGAATGAGCGAGGTAGCACGCTATATTCCTGAAAGGATGAAGAATTTCTGATTAGCATGTCATTAAGAATCTCTTCTCTCTCGGCTGCCGGCGTCTCAGTCGGTAATGAGATTACTGAATGTGCAGCTTGATTGTTTTACTAATGGCTCAGCCAGACGAGATCCTGTTTCGTGCATATTTTTACGACTCGGGGGCCTGCTGGAAACGAAAGGAAACGAAGATTCGAAGAAAAGGAGTTGCGGGAATTAGGAGAAGGGCGGAAGGAAACTGTATTTACTTGCTCGCCACATTAATTTCCTGATAAACAATTCTTCACTTTTATTATTTCTCTCGCCCTGATGACCGCACCATAATTAATTAGCTTTTTGTATGTCGCTACCATTCAACAAATACCCGTCCATTTGCTAACAAATGTAAATTATACTCCTTGTGTTTTGTTTTATCTTTATTATTTGTTTTTGGTGTTCGACATAGAGCAGCAAAAAACAGGGAACAAAAAAGGACATAAAAAATGTCCCATCATCGTGCAATGGCATGGAATTTCGGTTGGCTAATAAAAACACTAATTTATAACAAAAATATTTTTACTTTCACAGAATCCCGCCATTAGACAGCAAACATGTTTTTATCGTTACATTAATATGTACTTTATATTTTTTTTAAAGAATCCACAACGATTTATTTTATAACAACTCAGTAGAAAGTATATTTTTTGTATATTACAAAAATATATAAATTATATTTTATACTTAATAATTATATAAATTGTGCTTTAAACATAAATTTATGATCAAGCGATTCTAAATATGTAAATAACTTCATTTCTCTATTCTTCAACATTATTGCAGTCAAGTCTTTCAGTAGTACTTCAATTATTATGATAAACCATCACTATCGTATTTTATATTAATAAATAATTTCCTATTCATTCCATTAATGGTTTATTCAAACTTCAAATGTATATACTTTCATTAACATCAATATGTTTATTTTTAGAAAATTATAGCTAACATTTGCTAGAAAAAAAATAAATTTATTTTATTATTATGTCAATCAATACTTCCCATTATAAATATGATATACATATTTATTTAGCAATTATTTTATTCCAAGTTATCACGGAACACCTATTAACTTTTCGCGGAACATATTTTGGGAAACCCTGCTTTGATTATTTTAGTATTTATTCGAATAAGAATAACTGGTTATGTTTTTACTAATTCATATTGAAAAGACACTCATTTTATATTTTATATACGTAATTATTTATGTAATTGTCTAATTGTTATTCTTTAAAAAATGAATGATTAAGAAAATAAAGTATTCAGTTTCTCTTATATATGTGTAATAAAATATATTCAATTATGTTTGAACTTCTTTTTCAGTTCCTCCAAGAATACACTATGTAACTTCGAATGGTCGTGTAGAGGTGAAAAAGGGTACGTCGGTTCGTTTGGAATGCAAAGCGTCTGGTAATCCTGTGCCCAAAATCACTTGGTCCAGGAGGAATAATTTACTGCCGGGCGGAGAGCAGACGACGGTAACTCCGGTTCTAACATTGGACCGGGTGGACAGGCACCAAGCGGGGGTGTACCAGTGCACTGCTAGCAACGGGGTTGGAGAGGACGTCTCCCAGCAAATTGTCCTGCATGTCCTTTGTAAGTACCAAGAAACATTACATATTAATTAAATATTTTTCAATTTCATAGTGTTCATGTTCGAATGTCATTTTATACTGGAGTTCTTTAGAACTCGTTATATCGTTATAAAATAGCAAAGTGTAATTGGAAATCGAAGAAGTTATGCATCGCGAAACTTTCCTATAAGTACCCTTTATACTGAGTCCCAACAAGCTGCACTAATTAAAATGTTTCACACGTAGTCCCGGTGCAAAGTGCACAAGCTGTTTTTGTATGTGTGTGTGAGAGTGTATGTGAGAGGGTTATCGATTCTAATTAATATGGGGATGTGAAAAAGTCGAAGTGCAAAACCTCTTCCGGGACGTAGCGAGATTTATTAGAATTATCGATTCCTCACGGGCGTAGATCAGATTATATATGTGCGCATAATAATTTATCACTCGAACATTGTTTGAGGGCGAGTTAAGACATAGAACTAATATATACAAGTCCTTTTTGCCCTTCTGGCCTGGATTACACATCGCGCTCAACATCTATTATACAGCGTATCAACAAGGAAGTGTGTGTGTACCCGCCATGTATTCTACATAAACTCATTTGTCTGCACACACTAGCCCTAATATATGTGTGCGCTTTTAACACCTCCGCTCGCAATACACGGAATGTTACAACTAATAAAACATTTCCATTCAACTAATTACAGCGAGTCATTCGTCCACTTTGTTGAGTTTAACTTTTGTTTTTATTTTAATTACACTATTAATTTTATCAACTTAGTTGTGCAATTGATTATATTTTTAAATATTCATTTTATTGTCATATTTCATTTCATACAATCATTTGTAAAATCATTCATTATTTATCTGTTCTTATATTAAACAGATAGCTTCAGGTATTTTGATTCAACAATTATATAAATAAAAAATAAACGTATCTATAAAATAAATACAAAAAAATAACTATTACAAAGAAGGTATTTAAATGCAAACTAACTAATTTCAAAAATTAGTCCGAAAAACTTCATGAATTTTATAGTAAAGTTATATTGAAAACTTAAAAAAGAAATACTTGCTTGCCTTTCTGACCTCTTAATTTAATTTTAAAAAGGAAATAATCAATTTTACATAAACCTACAAAATTGAATGACAAAACAATCAGGAAAATATATAATATCTAATATTATATTTATTTCGTTTTCTATCATATATAAGAAAACGAAATAAATATAATGTAAATTCTACTTGTACTATTTTAAATATCAAATAAATAACAGTGGAAAATTTTGCATAAATATATTAAATTTTAGTAATTGACAGAATAAAATTATAATGTCAATAAAAAAATAATACCACTTAAACAATATAATATATGTTATCAATAAAAACACATCTTGTACAATATTAATGAAAAATAAAGAATAGATAAGTATGTGTCAAAAGCAGTTTGGAGCTATCGCTAAAATTATCTAGATAAAGCTAATTTTCTTTTTCCTCGAGTACACACATTTTTTCGTCTTATAATATGAGAAAGCGAAAGAACTTCAAATTAGAACTTTATCCAAAAGATTTCTCGCGAGGATTTCGTCCCCTCATTTGCATGCATTAACAACTTCTCTCTTTCACCCGGCTCTCGTCGAGACTAAAAGGAAAACATATATTTGTTCGGCATAAAGTCACGGGGTCGTTGGTTCCTTTCGGCTTTCGATTAAAGACTTGTTTGTTTTCCGCGGTTTATTAACTCGACGGTCCATACGAGGCCTTAAATATTCACGTCCGAGCAAAGGAGAAATAGGGCAATCAATTCCATCAAGTCTAGACGCCATAAACATCGAACCGAATCAAATATAGATTTTATTTGGTTGTGGCAAATTATGTTGTCGTGTCTACATTATAAATGATTCATGCATATAAATAAATATTAATTTAAAATTATAATCAATAAGCGAATAATCTATTTGATTATATAAAGCAAATATGGGAATAACTTTCATTAAGTGCTTTGCTTACATAAAGTTATACACAATTTCTATCTATACAGAATCCAAATCTTTGTATTTTCAGAGTTTTTATGTCGTTTTTGTCATTTTTATATTGAATATTTGGTAATATAATAAAAAATAGAGTAATATAATGAAAATATAAGTTATTAGTAATAATTCGTTCAAGAAAAAAATGTTTAACTAATGCTTCAAATAATTATATTTACAATTATATTAAGTAATGAAGACTAATATATCATAACCATAATAATATTATTTTTTTCAACATTTCAGAAAATATGAAATGTATTTTTTCGTTTGATTTTCTTATAGACTTTCAAATGTTTTTTTTTTTTTCATTTATTGCGAAACAACCATATATAAAAAGTTAAAGTTATTACTTTTTCAATAGTATAGAAAGTAATATAAGCGTAGTTAATTGAGATAAACTGCGAGTAATATTCAAACATAATTCGTGTTGTGCTTGCTTGTTGTTGCATTTTATTTCAGCTTCCCTGTTTTATTTGCTGCTTGATTTTTATTGGTAATGTTCCAAGAAGTTATAAAGCACTCGTGAGATTTCCGCTGTCGTTTCCTTACAATATTAAAGTCTTAAGAGAATACAATTCACAACTTCGCGAAATCATACCCGGCGACACACATAGCCGGAAGAAGATTGCGACACAAATATACAATTCTTTTAAGGTATATTTCGTGTTTTCAGAAAACATGTAATGAAACTAATAATCAAATGCTTAAATCACTTTTAAAATTTTAATACTACTTTTTATTTTATATATACTGTAAAATTATAGTGTAGTTATAAATATAAAATTTATGATAATTTTATCAAAATTCACTGAAAAAGTATGATGTTTATAAGTATCATATTGTTTTTGTGAATCGTTATGTTTCTCATTTTTAATTATCAATAAACTCGTAAAAACTACCTAATTATGCATAAAATATTTAGTAAATTATATTGCGGTTGATATTTAAATGCATTTCAAAAGTTTTAAGTGTCATGGAAGTCTATTTAAGTACTTTGACAAATTTTCAAGTTTGATTGTGAACTATTTATGTATCATATAAAATAATTGTATTGTATTCCACAAACGTTGCTGTACTTATGATTTTATTCAAAGATTTATCTACACAATTTAATGTGTAAACACATCGCGGCGAAACACTAGATTTGTCTGGTTAGAAGTTTCTTATTTGACTAGTAGTGTGTATGCCAAATATAATTTTAATAATGTTTAGAAGTTGTGTGGTTGTCGAAATCTGAAAGCAAAACTAATTTATTAATGACTCTATACAAAATTAGCAAGCGCTAATGTGAGAGTGGTGCTATTGACGTCAGCGAATTACGTAATTAAATATTCTTGGGTTCGCGTCCGACCGATTTGTAGTGACACAAATCCGCAATTTGCGCTTCATAATTATCGATTGATTAACAGGCCTGTTCATCTGATAAACAATTAAATTATTATCAGTGTCATAAATAATATGTATTTGTTTACAAACGTGAATTGGTGACTGAAAGTGACGTACAAAAATCGCTTTTCATTCCGATCGAAAAACAAAATTAACAGTAACAACAATAAAAATACAGATCACACAAGCATTCTATATTTATATGTTGTATTATTGTAGTTGCATTCATACGCAATCTATGTTTGTCCTATTATTATTTTTTTCAATTTATTTGTTTATTGATAAATTTGACATTGTTCTTTACTACCAAAAATAATTATTATTGATAACGAACGTCAGCGCCATACACCATTTATTGATACTTTTTTTAAAATACAAATGTATATATCAAATTTTATTGGCAATTTCTAAGTAAAGTTTGTTTTAAAATTGTAACACATAATATCATTATAAATTTTATATTCAATTCATAGGGTATGCACATGTGGTAGACATTTAATTAACAAGAGTTAACGATAAATTTTGATAACTAGGTATAAATAAAATTTTTACTTCAAATCATCTTTCAAATTATTCTTTTAAAGTGATTTCTTGGAAACTAATCAATCTAATACGAGCAAAATTCGACGCACTTCTATCAATGTTTTATGTTGATAAAAAATACACATTTTTTATCAACATAAAACATTGTGAATGATTTTTCGATTGTGTTGAAAATTGGACAAAACGTGAAGTACCATTATTTCAATTACGTAATATATAATTATAGATAACAACTACTTCTATAGTCTAGTTAATATTTAAGCTTTTGTATCTGATTAGTAAAGACCAACTGTTGCATATGGATGATATATCATACATAATGGAGTAATTTTGCTCTGATGGTCACATATTACTTATTTAAATAAATAAGACATTTTCTATTGCAAAATAGAGATGTTAACATAATATCCTAATAGTAAGTTGTGAAAAAAACATTGAAAATTTTGTACCAGCCCTTATCAGAGTTGTGCAAGTATGACTAGAAGCAAGCGTTGAGCTTATGCAGATTGTGTGGGAGTACGGGAGTACGCTTTTGGACCTCGTATCTACACTTGAGCATTGCCTAGAGAGGGTCTCCGGCACATTGCAACGTAAACTGCGACTGTTGATTGTCTTATCATTTCCACAGCTGCCTTGGCATAATAAATACACACGGGCTCCGTCTCGCTTCCACCTCCCCGAAGACTATTTCCATCTATTTCCCTTCAACGCATTTACATTTTCTGTTTATACAATGTAGTAGGCGCAATTCGCGTGTCCTTTTGTTGGTTTCTGATAATTCCCGTTCCTGTGTTGCGCTTGTCTATCTATGTAGGAATGTGTATGTAAGTGTATATATATATATATTTGAAAGCGCCTTTGGTTGTGTCTTTCCGGAATTAACTTTATTGTTGAAAGAGAATTCCACGTTTTGTGTTCGAAAATTTTACGTATCACCTTTTTGTGTACGACCGCCGCCAGATTTTAATCTTTTTAATGTCGCAACTTACGAGATTGCTCTCTCTTTTTGTCTCTCTTTCTCAGTTGCTCTCATTCTCTCTCTATTTCTCTCCGCCCCCTGTTACAGCATGCACTCTCAGATAAGCATTTGTTTTCCATTAAATGTACATTTTATTAAACAAAGAAAAAAATCTACGTACAACACTCGGCTCTAATGGCCGGAAACTATAAAGGATAATTACATCCTAGAACAGGAGGATGAAGAAAAAAGTATTGAGCGCAGTTTTTTAAGAGTGTTTTTAATTAAACCCTTGTTTTAGATCAAATGATCTTCTCTATTGTCGCTTTTAATATACGTGTTGTTTAACTGGTAGATGAGTCGGTTTATAAGTAGTAAATTGTGGCACTCATAGTCATATCTCCCATTGTTAATATATTATTTGGCAATAATAACATTAAAAATTAGTTCTCTTTTAAATTAGATTGTTTTGAAACAAATGACATTAAAAAAAAAGGGTACTATGAAACCTTGAAATATAAAATAAAAACAATTTGTGCTATTAAATGCATATAAAAATTGAAAAAACACTATAAATATTATTATTATTAATGTTTTTGTGTAAAACATCTTTCTTCTGGATATACTGAATATAGTTTATTTTATTCAGTGTAATTTAGGATTATATGTTTCTGAATAAACAAAAATTAATCAGAAACACGTTTGTATTATGTTTATGTCTGAAATTACGTAAATTTGTATACATTATTTATCTTTGCTCTACAATTTCACAAGCACACAGTTAAAAAGAGGCAGAAAGCTCTCGGTGAAAAATTTATGAAATAAATAAATTTATGACATGCAAAACGCAACATTAACCCCTCTGACGACGCTTTGTAGAAGGAGAGAGTGGGAGAACGGCGAAAGTAGAGAATGTTTTTAACTTATTAATGCTCAAAGTGTTTTCATGGAAGACAAATGTTTTCTTCCTCTCCTATACACCCCTATACCCCCTGGTTCTTTCTTATTCCTTCTGCTATTGTTGTTTTGCGTTATTTAATGTATCGTCGCTGGTCATTCTCACGCTCATATATTTTTTAACTATCCATCTATTGTGGATACGTTCTTCCCGTTCTCCTTTTCACCATCCTTCTTATTTTTTTTGCCATTTTAACGGCACACATTTCTCTCTTGGTATTTTTAGAATCTCATTCCTCAGCCGAATGCACAATTTGCTGGAATAAATACTCGGGGACGATGTAAGCTTTTAATGTCTATGGGGCTCTCCTGAAAAGAGGGAGCGGCCAAGAACCAGAAGTGTCTGTGCCCATTCCATCCTATTAGCTGCACCATTAATATTGGACATCCAACCAACTACTACGCAACAACATGTTAAGACCAAGATAACCCTCAATCGATATCCTCGTGTATCACTAGAACCCCCCTTTATTTAGTCAGAACGCTAATACCGAATTTATGTAGTACTCTGCGACAGTCCATGATCACTATTTAATGTCGGGATTTACTAAATCTATCTATTTCAAGTATTGCAAATTTCATGCATTCATCGACTATTTGGCAACATGTTTGTCGTTGCATTTTGTATTATGCAGCCGCGATACAATGAACCCCATATAATTATAATGGAAAAGGGACTCGTGATTACAGTTCATTGAAATTCATTAACAATGCACAATTGTATTTCATTTTATCCAATAGAAATTTTCAATTATATAAATGAAAAATACATAAGTTAGGTTGCGTGGTCAATTTAAGCTTATGAATATCAAATGGAAAGTTCATAAATTTGTGTGCGGAATGGGTTTGGACGTTTTAAGTGAATCTATATATCATCATAAAAAAACGAAAGAAAAAGGAACACCTAAACCGGGAGAGGTGTATTTGCGCCTCCTCTCCCCGAACATAATTATTATGGCCAGTTTGCGCTCGTAATCTTAACATAAATTAGGTGATGCACTTGTTTCTCCTTTCCCTTTTACATCCCGGAAGCGCTTCCGTAAAATGCAGGTTAAGTATAATTCGATTACATTATAGTAATAATGTTGTTTTTGAGCGGATGCCGCGCTCGCCGTGCCATTAAAGTGAATTTATTGAAAGCTGCGTAAAAGCCCTTTTGTTACGTGCGAAGGAGGAGATTGTGAGGCGATGGTTGAGCAGGCAAGCTGCAGTTCGACCGTTAATCATCCGACTGCTGGCTTTAATTTGGCAAAGCCATAAAACAGATTGAGTGGCGAGAGATGTTATGTACACCTTGGGTAACATTAACCTGGTCCTGATTCCTTACAACCGCCACCCAACTACATGCATCCCGTATAAACCGACCGAACCACAATGGCTTGCTAGCCTCTCTAAGATCTTCCTGAAATATGGAGACAAAGTTTTGTCATATGCATTTGCGGACGTTGGCAACTTGCCTTCAACTAAATAGGCCAGTTCCCAATTCCGTTTTAATTAATTTTAAATTATTAAATTCTCACAACTTTAATATACATTTATCTTAAAAACTAAATTAACACAACTTCTTTCTTTTTTACTTCATCAAACACATTACTTCAAGGATGAAAGTAGAATTGAAATGAATATGTTATTTAATAACAAGTATTAAAATTAGGACATACAAAATACCTATTATTAGCAATCAATATTTTTATCATAATATATTTAGTTTTAATAATATTTTTATACATTAACAATAAAGCAATTCGACTTTCGACTTTATTTTTTCCATAAAGGAAAATGAATAATGTAAATTAAATAATATGTATAATACAAAACATTTTAAATATATATATTTGTAATAAATAGTATAGTGGAGTTATTTGTCTAACCATGACACGATTAAGTATTATTTAAACTTTAATAGAAAAAATCATAACTTACATTATTAGTATGTTTATGTAATAACAGTAGTTAATTATAAATTCGTAAACTATTTATAAATTATTGATTAAATTATAATTAACATATATGATTATTATAATAATTATTACTAGTTATGTATATAATTAATAGGTAAATTTGCAAAATAATTAAATTATACAAGTATTTTGAGTGAAATTGTAAAACCATGTTTCAATATGAAATATATTTGCAAGAAATTGTATTACACAATTCAGTTAAGCTTGCGTGAAATGCCTGATAATCAAATGTCATTCATCTAAAATTGAATACAATTGTGATAAGTTGATGTCCCGATTTAATAAGTCGTGTATCGTTAAAGGCAGACAAACGAAATCAGTATTTGTTATTTATTCAAAATAATTTAACGCCATGAATAATTCTCTGTAGGAAGAATTTGCGTTCTCGTAACTCGATGCGAAGTAGATTAAGATGAGCGGTGCTGGTTTAAGTTTTAAATTGAATTTATTTCTCTGTGCGATGGAGAAGTTATTAATAATAGAGCCGAGGAGACGCGTAGCCATCTCGTAGATGCAAGATATTCTCCCCTACTCCTGTAAAACTGAAAATGCACGTTAACGTTAAAATGTTTGATTTCGCGGAGCGAACAAATAACCCCCGAATGTTAATTCAAGCGAAAGACACGTGAAAAGAACATAATGTAAAAAAAAAGTGTGATTAAAATGTCTGTTTATGTAAAAGGAATAAAATGAAATAGCTTTGTTTCTACAATTCCTTGTTTTCGCTCGTGTGGCTTTTCCCCGTGCAAATGAAGTCGGTTATTGAATATGACATGCTATATAAGGAGCTCCTCCTACACTTTTCCACTGAAAGTAGGCTCCTAATTTAAAAAATAACTTCGCACATTTTTTTCACCCTTGTTCTCTAAATTCTCGTTTCCAAATATTCTATTACCATACACTTTGATAAAAGTCCTTCCTATAATGAGGTACAAATAAATATTGGATTTCATAAGCACCCTATAAATAGATGTCTAAAAAAAATCTTAATTTATACCCTTCAATGATTTGAAATTTAATTTGTAGCCTGTAGCACGTTTATTCAATCTCATCGAACTGCTACTTAAAATAAATATTTAATTCGTTGCCCCGGAATATTGATCGCATAGGTAATAATAATGTGCAAAAAAGTTATCAATAATTATTTGAAGGTATTAAAATATACAAATGCATTTTTAGAACTGCAAAATTGTTATATACTTTAAAAATATATCAAAGTGTTCTATCTAAACTATGACCTATAAAATAGTAGAATGCAAAATTCCTTCTACCGCCGATATAATTTCAAGTTTTCGCTTTAAATATACACAGTTTGCATATAAAAGTTAAACGTGGAATTTTATATAAACGTAGTAGACAGTCGCGTCGGCTCTCTCTCTTTTTCTCACTCTTTCACATTCTATGTTTTACTCTTTCGATCTTGCACATAGCTGTATGTACACAGAAATACACTACACTATACTCTAATCATAGCCATTTCAACTTTGATGAATATTTTATAAACAAGTGACATACTTTATGAGGGTGCAGTTTGTAAATTAACTCATCAAACATTCAAGAAAACTAAAACTTTAAGAATTAGTGCGCTCTGAGCTGGCGACAGCGTTTTCTGCTTCCACCGCCGTCGCCTTCAACCGCCTTTCATTTTTCAGACCTTTGAGCCAAGCTCTCTTCAGCTGCTGCAGGTCGCCCCCAGAAAACGATTCATAATTAATTTTTAAAATCGAAAAATAATTATTGCGCTCACCACCTGTCACTTTCAGTGGGGGATTTACGGTCGTCGGTTTATTTTTAAACCACTAACTTGGCGGATTGCAATTAGTGTAAAAGTGCGGTCCGTTATATATCGGTTCGATCTTTGATCAGCGACTCTGATTGATGGGATCGCATCGGGGGTTATGCTTAGAAGACCTGCACCAGTACCAGAACCAGCTCCAGCCCATTTGCAGTTAATCGTATCTGTAGAGATATATATATACGTGACTTCTGTGTGCGAGCGGAGAAGAGGATGTGTTTGTGTTGTGCTAGAGTGAAGTGGAGTACGGGGCGAGGGTGGGCGTTCGGGTTGTACATCTACACACCCCCTTTGCGAGCAGCGCTTCTGGTTCGGAGTGCACTGAAGTGAGTGAGGCATCCCTCATCAGTCCGATAGTTCGTAGGAATGCCAAACCCTTTGAGAAGCACTCGTTATTAAATCAAAACATGGGGGTGGTCTCCTATATTGAAATGAGCTGCTCCTACTTCGCGCAAATCCTGCCATCAAAGCAAGAATCCATATTATTTGTTGTTTCTAATATTAAAATCAATGGTTAAATCGAAGAGATTTAAGTAGAACATACAGGTATAATTAAAACTTATAAAATTGTCTTTTATTAAATTATTTTTTGTTTGAAATTTATTTGAAGCAACATAGTAAATATAGTTGTTTTATATAAGTAATATTATCTTCAATATTTTACATTTTATTTAATATTATAAGTAGATGAAACTTATTGACTTTAAATATTCTACATAGTATTATTAATACCTTCAAAAAGATATATATAAATAGTTTGCAGGATACAACTGTAAAATATACAAAAAAACAGGTACACATTTTATGTTCATATAAACTTGTTCTGAAATTGATTTAACTACTTCTTATTACAAGTAGTAGTTGCATTTAAAATGATATAAAATATAATATAATAATCCATACATGTACCATAATCTAAAAGAACATTTAATTTTAATAAAATTTCAAAAGTATTTTTCATCCTTTTGGAGCATCAATGGCAAAAAAAGAGATTATTGCATAATTAAAAAGAGCTTGCAAGTATCAATTTTGTGCGGATTAACGAATAACCGTTTTTACCTCATCTTCCTTCGTTTAATCCGTTCCATTTTCCGTTGATCAAAACTCAAGCATTTTCCGCGTCTGGAGAAATTCTCATTTTATAAACTTGCGTAATAAATTGATTGAATATTTATTGGCTGCATTGCATGGTAAATAGCTAGGTAATACAAGGAGGCGAATGCAGGGGGTGGCTTTTGCAAAAGAGAGACCGGGCGTAGTAAACAAATTAGGTTTGTATACGAGCGTCTAGGTAAACACATATATACAGAGAGAGACACATATAGACAGTTTAGTTTTGAATCGAAGGCAATTCTATTAGGAAAATACGATGCGGATTCATGTGAAAAGGAAAATTAGATGGCATCGGCGTCTTTGAATGCATAAATGAAATTTTACTTACTTTGAAGATGTAGAAACGAAATGAAATACCGTGCGGTTCTTAAAGGCGTTTTGTCGGACTGTTTCGACTTCTACTATCAAACAAAATCAATTACAATAAAAGAAACTCTAAACACGAACTATTTATTTTTCATGTTTTATGATCATGTTTCTTTCAGACTTTCATTCCATATGCAATGTGAACTAACTTTGCATAAATCTATAATAAAATAAATCGATTAAAATTTAGTAAAATTTAGCTCATTTCCATTATTTATATAATAGAATAACAAAACATACATATAAAATTTATTTATTATAACGAGTCTAGTTATTTAAATGTAGATGTAATAAAAATGATTAATAAACTGCACAAAGATAATTAAAATTTAAAGTAAGTGAAGGTTCAAAAAATAAATTTTAACTTTTGAACAACAAACATAACGTTAAAATTTTGATGTTGTTTATTTTAATTTACCTCCGGGTAATTTCACTTTTTTGATTATGAAGTAGGATTTTTGTTTATTTTCATTTTGTTTATGCCGATTAAAATATATTTATATCCTTGCCACTTTACTCGACTCAGAATAATTCTACTTAACTTATTTTGCTGAAATAATATAAATCAACATTTAGTTGACTTTTTATTTATAAAAATAAGATATAATTATTATATAAATACCACTAGTAATTAATTAACGTAAATTAAATCAATATTAATGTAAATATCTATATCGCATTAGATTTATTTATGTTATTTGTTCAGCGAGTGTAAATCTGAAGAATAATTCATATTTCATTTTATGTTGATGATTTATTAATCAAATATTTGAGCTCAGCGGAGGGAAAAAAGAAGAGGCCTTTATTCGCGAGAAAGATGGAGGACTTATTCAGTAAGGATCGCGGATTAGCGAATATAAGGTATAAAGTCTCGCTGCACGCGAATAGTTTATACGCTGAAAGTTCGTTCATAAATCGGGGAGCTTAATCGTAACTTCTTCATGGTACGCATTCAAATTCCGCCGGAATTCCTAACTGCGCTAACGGAAAGTTTTTCCTTTACGTAATTACCAAATTGGTGTACATAATATCTGGATAAATTTAATTAGTATAGTATTAATTACACACATTTTAACTTACTTAGATTGTTACATTTATTGTAATAAATAAATAATAAAGTGTAAAACTATTGTATAGTATATGTTACAATTTATAAAAATGACTATGTAACGTGAGATACATGTGTTTATAACATTATGAAAGGAAGGTTTCCTAAAAAAACATGATTGTGTATTATCAAAACATTCTATTCAGTTAGTGAAACCTATGAATATAATAGAAACATAAAATGAAATCTGCGCTAATATGTCCTATAATTAAAAGCAATTTCCTAAACCGGATATGTATCTAATACAATAACAAAAAAATTACATTGAAAATGTAATATCCGTTTGTACGATTTAATCAGACTTGGCACTGCTTGTAGTAGTTGTAGACCGCTTTTCCTCAGGCCAGAGAGTTGAGGCAGATTTATGCCCGCTTGATGTCTGAAGATTTGCCTAATTGCGCGAACAAAGCCAGGCGCGTTATTAAAACACAAAACTACCTTTCCGAGCAAGGGATGTCGGCAGTGTAGGTGAGGAAAAGGATGAAAGGAGTCTTCGTTCTCCTATTGCACAGCACCCCAGTCTTCACAAGGTTCAAGGTAGTCAGGAAGGGGTGAGGAGGACGAAGAAGGCAACAACGCACTCCACTGGAACTTTAATCTTGAGAAATAACCCGGCGCATCCACCAATTACCCAAAATACAATATGACTCCACTCGAGACTTTAATATTATACGCAGGGAACACAAAAAAACAATAACATAAAATAAAATAAGAAGTGAAAATACGCCGACTTTTGTCCAGTTAATATTTCATTTACTTTTATTGTATCAAACGAATTGAAATGAAAACAACATTCTGAAACAAATTATAAAGAAATAATTTCAGTTATTAATTTTAAAATTGGTTTTATTAACATCCATTGGAAGCGTGTAATTAAGGAATTTGTCACCATATAAACTCACATTTACTTGTAATTTATTTGGGGGGAATCGGTATATCCGAACTTCCTTCCGGTTATTAAAGTTCATAGAATTAATCACAAGGCTACTATTAAAATCAATATTTGGTTAGTCTATTCATATAGTCAACTTACATTCATAATTATTTCTTTCCTTTTCACAGTCATTTTCTATAATATGGAAATTAGAATAGAATATCGTAGAATCTGTATCGTCTTGGTGGAAATAATTAATTTTGACTTATATATCGTGTTTTTTTTTTTATTAATATGTCAATATAGATTTATCTCACATTATTTTTACATGACAGCCTGCAAGTTGTCAACTGTTTTGTCTTTTTTATTTACAAAAAAGTAGTAAATAGCACGACACAATAAGATTTTATATCACGATTTAATAATCCATGATAATAAATATTTATATAAAAGCGTACAATATCAATAACAAAATTATATAAGTTTATAAGTTTTAACATATAAAGTAATGAACAAACTTAAATAGCACTTCACTACTTTAACTGAATCAGCACTACTTTAAAGTTTTGAAAATTTCTTTGTATAAAATCATGTAACGTTCATACTTTTATTTGATTTTGTTTCAAATGCGAAGAGAAAATGGTCGGCAATAATAATTTATAATAATATATTTTATTTATAAACTCATACAAAAAATAAAATTCCACCCATAGACATATAATTAATGCATTTATAACAAGTATTAATTCTTATATCGTTTAAACATCTAACAATATTAAAAATATGTACTTTCTTGGTCAAAATAGGTCGTTTTTTGTATTTTTTTTTTCCTTTTTTAATGGAATATGCAAATGCGAGATCTTTTAATTGCATTTTAAGCCAAGCGAAGTCATTGTGTCTCCACCTCCTGATTAAAAATTCACCATAAATCTTTTTTCTCTCTTCTTCATTTTGCGTCCAGATGTAAATAATAAAGAGTGCGAGTGCGACAGCTGAGATAACTCGGAACTACGCCGGACGGTGTCAGTTAATAAAGTAATAACGCACCTCGAGGGAAGAGGCGGCATGTCCCAGTGTCTTCTTCGATCCCTACTGTTCCTTCGCCTCTTACTCACAGCAAAGATGAGAGAACGGAACTACCTATTTAAAGCCAACTTTGGTCATAAAGCTACTTAGATGCTTGCAGAGAACGCGGATGATCCAGGACTGCTGGGCATTAAAACTATTTTACAACTAATTGAAATGTCGCTCGCATTATCGCGATATTAAATCGCACGCAATTTTAAAACAATTTCGTTTGCGGCTCCGACGCCATCGAATTTGCATGCAAATAAATGTCATCCAACTAGACGCACCTGAGCCACCAATCCCACAAATCAGTGTCCCGTTACAGAACTTTTGTATATAAAACTTTACGTTTATTACTTTTAATTTAGTTCAACGTTATTGCATTACTTATTCATTAATATCGTTTTTCATTAACTTTATTAGAATATTAAATTAAAATTATTTAAATATTTAGAAATTAATGACTATAATTTATGTTAGCTATAAACGAGACAAAACCATATTACAGGTGGCCATTTGAAAGGTATATTTTTCAGCTATCAATCTTCGATCACTCATCCTTTCGATCTGAAAATTGTTGCATGCAACTATTTTACGTCGTTCCACCATGTGTGTATACGTGGCAAAAAGGCCCATTTTTCATGTGGGACGAGAAGAGAAACATAAAAAATATAGCACGCATATATATCATCATTTTCGAAGCTCAGTCAGTAGGAAATTGATCGATTGCATTCGCAACACACACAATTCCGTGTACATCAAATTAACAAGCCGAAATTACTAGACAAAAAAGTAGACCGAGTAAATACAGTACTTATTTTAAAAAGGGCAAAATGTGTTATGCCCCATATACAGCGGATTTCACTGTATAAATATAATTAAAATATGGTAACTGGAATAATAAACCAGCAGAATCCATATTCATATGCCCTTCATATGCCTTCTCACCGAGAGCTCTGTGTTATCCTATCTCGAAAAAATGTACTAAA